TAAATAAAATAATATCTACCAAACAACTGAAATCATAAATACTATAATTTCTACAACTAGACAATTTTTAAGTTTTCAAACATTAGACAATTTCAAAGTTTTCAACAAAGCAGCTCATACTTATTAGAATTGGGGTTGAATCGCTAATGATAAGTAAAAATAATTAATAAATACATACAAAAATAACTTTTTGCAATTAATTTTTATTATGTTAAACTCATACAACTAATTTACACATACTTTTTTATGTCCCATTTTCTATGGATATTAGAAGTGGGTGTAATAAAGATTAATTGCAACCGAGTTTAATAAGACCTTGTTTGATCCTAATTTTTTTTCTAAATAGAATTTTATTTCTCTTCTTTTCAACCACGCATTTTTCAATAAAATAATATTACATGCAAGATAAAAACTTTTCATTTATTTTTAACAATATATTCTCTATCAATCTACTATTTCGAAATGCATTTTACACAAAAAAAAAAAAAATGGGGATCAAATAAGCCCCAAGTTATGTTTGTCTGTATTTAATTAATTTTGAAAAATAACATAATTTTGTCAAATATTTTTTATATATATTTATATTATTTATTTATTTATTATTAGGGTTTGACCCAATTCTATTAAGTAGAAATTGTCCCTTTGGAAACTTTGAAATTGTCTAGTTGTAGAAAATTATTAATTAATTTCATATATTTATGATTTTAGTTGTTTGGTATACATTATTTTATTTGCATAATGGTTTTAAAAGAATTAAATCGATATTAAAAATTAAGTAATGTTTTTTTAGAAGCTTGAAATTAAAGTTCAATTGTGTGCCCAAATTGAAAATTCAGTGACTTGATTGCATGTAATGTTTAAGTTCACTGAGATGAATTAAAAGTAAACGTTTCTCAGAATATTCATATGGTTAATGAATGAAGTTTGAGATCCAATATTTAAGACTTGAGAATACAAAGATGAGACTGAGTGAGTCAACACCACCCAAAATAAAAATGGCATAAAAGAAGGTGCAGATTGCATTGGTGCAACATATTTAAATTGGAAGAATTTGGCAACGAAGAAATTCTGAAATTTGATTGCCATCGTGATGACTCCTTCAAGGGTTCTCCTTATCAAATTGTCTGCTACTGTTTGACCCTGCGCATTAGATTGGAAAATGTTAGTTTTGACAAATAATGCATAAATTTCAAGAAGGATTTTGAGAAATTTCTCGAAATAACATGTTCATAATGGTCGAGGTGAATAATGTTGGTTTACTACACGTGAAAAAATTACAAGAAAATAGAAGAGCTAAAATAGTGTAGTATCACGACGTATACGTACCAATTTTCATTTTCGGATGATTTCTGATTAATTCCTCCCTACCCGTTGAATAACCATTTAGGTATACCTCAACATTGACACTCAGAAGCAACCATATCAGGGCATAATACCAAGAAAAACTCTTAATTTTGATTAACTTTTGAGAATATTCTTGTGAGTTCAACTCCATTTCCCTTGTATCACTTATCTAATTTGTATAGAACATTTCAAGAATGGACTATTTATAAGTGTTTAGAGAGACTTATGCAGCACTTTTCTGTATGGGGGTGGGGTGGGGTGGGGTCATAAAACTTGTTGGTTTGCATATTGACTTGCTATAAAATAATAAATACTGCATTTGATATATAAAATCACATTGTATGGAATCATTTTTTTGTTAAACATCAAAATAATTATACAATAGTAAAAGGAAATGGTGATATATTCTTGGGGAGCAAGGAGGTCAACCGTTGATTTTGATATAAAAATTTAGAACTTGGGGAGGACGTTTTCAACAAGTCCCTAATGCTGATTAAGTTCTCTTTATTAAGAATTGTTATTCCATCTTAAAATGTCAATCTTGTTAAGAGGAGTAGCCCAATATCTTTATTAATTGGTCTGTGTCAACATCATTTATCGATGTGGGATATATATCCCTTAACACGCTCCCACAAGATGATGGCTCATTTGAGCAGATCAAGCTTGAAATTCACGTGCTCATTTTAGAGTCTTAACGGGATCGAATAACTCGTTGGAGCATAATGGGTTCTGATACCATATTAAGAATTGATGTTCCATTTTAAAATGTCAACCTTATTAAGAGGAGTAGCCAAATATCTTTATTAAATGATCTGTGTCAACATCATTTATCGATGTGGGATATATATCCCTTAACACTCTTTTCTTTCCTTTTTTATGTTTCCCTTCTCTACTTTCAGTCGAAGTTTCTCCAATAATAACATCATTTTATCATCAATGTTGTAACATCGTTTTTACACCATCATGAGTACTGTTAAAACGACTGTGTATTTAATTTCAACATCAAAATATTAAGAAAAGAAAAGACCGTTAAACGCGTGGAGTCAGGAGTGTACTTCTTTTTATTGAAGGGGCAAATCTTCTAACTTGAAATAAGTAATAAGCAAAAGTTAGATAAAGAAAAGAATTTTTCTAAAAAGAATAATAAAAATAAAAAGATATCTTCTTCCCCTAACCCACCCTATCCCCATCCCAAACCACACGACCAGAGCTCGCCCACCAATAGCGGCACCATACGCAATCAACGTCGTCTACCACTAGCGACACCATCAGCAATCAACGCCAACCCAAGTTACGCAATCTAAAACCATTCTAAAATCACCTTCATTCGGCAACTGTTTAAATTATAAACATTTTTAATCAAACAACCTTATATTCACATATATCTATTATTCACATGTCCGTTCTAGATGGTGATACACTTGAGAACACTAATCTTAAAATTCATATGCGTTTCAGCTTGATAGTAATGATGATTCAACAAGAAAGTCCATTAGAGTACATTTTTTATGTTGTCCGACCGCTGAGAATGCATATTGATGGACAAATTGTTCTTTTATAAATTAAACCAAAAAAAACTTGTCCAATGCATTTTGCCTAGTTGAACAATAAATCTCCAGGCCCGGTGGTACTATCCCCTCGTTGAAAAATGCGAGGAAGTAGGCATGCCGGGGAAGAAGGTGGCTCCATACAGGGAAAGAAGGCTTCTTGATGGGTTTTGTTTGGTTTAATATGTTGTTTTATCATTGTTTTGAAAAGCCGAACAAAGTTTGAAGTTTTACGTTTTACCTTATCGTCTAATCACGAATTAAAACATTGCGTTTTATAGGATAAAGCCCTTGAAAAGGGCTTGTTTTTTTTGGTGATTTTTCTCTTCATAATCCCGCATAAGTCAGATGGAGCTCTAACAAAAGCCGAAAGCCCACAATGAACAAACAAATATTTTGCCACCGTTTGCATTTCATTTTCTTCTCCTAAAATATTATTTTTTAAAGTCAAACATTAATTTTAACTGTACATAAAATTCACATGTTCTACCCATTGAGTAATACTATTCATTTAGAGTCTAAATAATTATATATTTATGTGAGTCATTGTCACATCGTCTAATATCTGAAAATTTATTCAAAATTCATTGATCTATGTGGCAGTTAAACGTTGATCATCTAGATGCTACATGAATATTATTATTCCTTCTAACAAACGTCCGGAGTGTTTAAACTAAAATTACAAAAATTAAATAAAAAAATTAGGTCAATAATCAACTTCTAATTGAAGGAAAAAAAAAACAAGTGAAATAACAAGTTAGGTTATTAATAACGAGGCATTGACTTTTTTAGAAACTGCAAATGCCAATGATTACGAACCAAGCAACAGTTACCTTAAGAATGATCCATATGAATATAAGCATTTAACTAATAATATTTGAATTAAGCTAGCTGTAGACACTTTTTTTACATGAAGTTTGACACCTCTTACGTGTGCAATATTTGGTCATTGATTAAAAAGAGTGTTGTTAAAATCAATACAAAAAAAACTGTAAACACATATGATGTCAAACTTCATGTACATGTAGCAATACTGATAATATTTTATGGAATTAGCAGAAAAGAAGTAGAGATTATATGGCTATGCAAGTCGTTTGAGTAATGAGAAATATTTGATAATCAAATTACATATATCCCGAGCAAGTTCGTATCAAGGTGGCGATCACTGAATGGTTAGAAAGATTTTCTGCTACTTATTTATTTAACGAATAACCTACTCAACAAAGTGATTCTAAGTATACAATTCTTGTATCTATAAGCTATATATCCCAACTGATGAATTGAGTGGTAGTGAATGAAAGCTTCAATTTGACTCCCTGCAAATACAAACATAACAGATTAAATATCAATATAAATTCAAATGAAATAAAAGAAAACAGTCAAATTCCCATATAGGGGCTGGATTAATCTTTTCCCTTCAAAGGCTGCGTCTGCTATAATCTTTCTTTGATAATTAAAGTGATAGCCGACCAAACCAGACAAAACTTAGTGTATTTTTAGCAGTCATTTTTCCAAGTTCACACAACATGATGATTTCTTTAACCATGTTCAAATGAAAACATCATGGCATGGTTTGATTTTTCCTGTACAAGAATGTTGGTGCACAGATCAGGCAAATCAGAGCCATTGGTTGTAATGTCAACCACGATAACATTGGGTGGTCGTCGTTTTATGAATCTCTCTCTGTAAATCTTATCCTCACTAACTTGCTGACTCAAGAAGCACAAAGAAAATGGGCTCCTTGATGTTGAAGGCCACAAACCGACTAGTGATTCGAGCATCAGACTGATGGTCGAGAATTGGCAAGAAAAAAATCTTCTACCAACATAAGGAGTAGGTAATATGTTTCAAGGCTTCCCTTCTGGGCTAGCTTGTAATGCACTGTTTATAATCTGCTTATAAATGGTCAAACCTATTTTTTGTCCACACACATATTCTAAGATATGAGGCAACAGTGGAGGTAAAAAGTTTTTTTTTTTTTTTTGCACTTATAAGTAAGAAAAAAGTAAGTTATTCAAACATGTTTGGATACAAAAGGTTACTTAAAAGTTGAAAGCAACTATACCTATTGTTTCAAGCTTAGCCCAACACGCTTTAATGATGCAACACATTCTCTATTGCAACTAAAGAAAAGAAATACAGACACGAGAGAATTGCAGGTAGAGCTATGAAGTCCACATTAGTGACATTACCAAACTTTGGACAGAGATAAGATTTTTTTTTCCTGATAGAAGCCATTATGGACTTTTGTCCTGAAGATAGGAATTTTTTCTCACCATGAGATTCATATTCGCTACTGCAAGCCATTATGGACTGAACAGTTAACGTTCATTCAATTAACATTTCTATAAGAAAGGTATCTGGGATTTGGCCAAGTTTAAAAAGTAAATAAGCAAGTTCCAAAATAAATATACTTACATTGATCGAAGTCGGAAACAAGCAAGTAACTTTTACATAAATAACTTTATTTTCTTAAAAGTAAGAAAAAATAAGTTATCCATACATGTTTAGTGAGTTTGATTATTCTCACCTTAGTTTATGTTTGGGGTGGAATAAATTATCTACATGCGTTAATGTTAAATAAAAGAGCTTGGGAGATATCGAATTAGTTACCGCTAAAATCTCCCTGAGATTACACCAACAACAAAAGTTTGAGGAAATTTAGTGCTCGTCATCAATCCGCTCCCTTCCAGTCAATATAGGAAAACCTTTGCTATAAAGCACATATCCAGGAAGCGAGGGAAAGAAAAAGAACAAAGAAAGATAATTCCTGAAAAATAAGAGTGAGGATAACATCAGACGAGACAATTCATGCACCTGTTAGAAGCAGAAGAAAAAGGGTACAGAAACTCGTGCAAGTTCATATATTTTCTTACCTTTTTCCAGGAAGCCGAATAAGCCATGCGTGGAAGAAAGCCTCGTAACCCAATATCATAAACTGGAGTACCATCAGGATAATAGAGTCCGTAATTTCTCTCAGATGCTGGACCAGGCTTTAGATTCTCATTAAAAAGTGCAAAAACATAGATGTCGACCGGCACGGATGGTTTTGCTGGAGTACCTTCGTTTTGCTGCAGCCGACTCAGCAGGTTACTATTATATAGTTTAGCATTCTGTGGTGTTGCTCCTACCTCATTCAGATCCCCCTTTGATGGCCATCCCGTCTCTGAAATTTTAACTTGTACATCGGTATGGCCCATTGCTTTTATAGCTGAGTAAACAGCATCAATTTGTGCATATAACATATTATCATATTTCAAATTGGTAATTGGATCCATTGTTCCTGGATTAGGCTGGAAAAGAACGTACTCTAGTGAAACCTGACCAGGATTATCTTTGTACGCAAAAAAGGGATATGCATTTATAAGGAACGGTGAGTTAGTCTGTGAATGGAAATTGATTATAGGCTGGATGTACTCAGCAAGATCCGGCCGGAATGTGCCTGCGGAAGGTGGGAAGGAATTACCCAAGATTCCAATTGAATGAGCAGTTGTGACGTACACCTCCTTACTTAGCCCGAGATTGTTAATTGCCTCATAGACCGTCTGCATTGCCGGGAAGAGATAAGACATTAACTGAGTATCGTTGCCTGTTAGAACCTCGTTCCCGACAGTGATACACGTGATCTTAGTCAGGGAAATGTAAGGTTGAACATGCTGTTGAATCCAAGTTTGAGCTTTAACTGGATCTGTCATGTTCTCAAGATATTCATTCCCGAGACCTATGACGAATTCCACCTCAGAATTGGCAAATGCAGTTAACACATTTGGATCAGCGTCATAAAGTTTTACTCTACTTATGTTGAGAGATCTAAGGAGATATGCAACGCGGGATGGTGAGGGAAGATTATTCGCAATCTGGCCATAATTAATTCCAACTCCGAGACTGCAAATTCTACCAAACGAATCTGAACACGGTGGAAAAGAAAGTCAAAGAAGTGTAAATCTGGACAGCACAAAAATTAAGCTTATCTCTGAACTCAAATATTAAAGAGAGAACGATTTTTTCACCGAATCTTGAACATCAATATATATACTTCGCCGCCTCAATTAGAAGAACAGCACAATAGGAAAAACAAAGAAATCCCATTACAGCGTCACAAAAATACACAACAAAGATGAAAATAATTCACCATTTCCTAATAACCCAAAAACATAAACCCACATCTCCTTTTCTTCTCTTATTCTTTTTAACTTTCTGAGCTGAAATCATCAGCAAAACATAAATAGAATGTCCCTTTACATGCAAAGGAAATTTAACATAGAAAAACACTCAACTTTTCTTGATATCACGTTGAGAAGGCCTAAATAACAGAATAAGCATAAGAACCTGAAAGAGTGAACAGAAGAAGAAGACCCCGGAAGAGGGTGGCCATTGCCATATGCCAGCTTTGCTAAATTTCAGCCACGCCCCTTTATTTCTTGAGATATGTAATATATATTTGTAGGCGTTCAGTGTATTGAATTAATTGTTTGCTGATATTAAGTATTATATTAAGGTAGTGTGAAATCGTGCAAAAGTTTGTATTTTATAGAAAAAGGTTGTCATTTTGTATTTGAATTCTGTATGTTTTATGGCTTTTCTTTCATTTCCTTTTGAGGTCATGAACAATCAAATTAATGAACGTGCTATTAATTGTGAACAAATAATCCAATAAATCTATGTCCCATAGCTCTCGAGAGAGCATTCGAGAAAGATTTAGCGGTACAAAAAAAATTACAAAGGTAAGCAATTTTTCGATTTTCTCTTTATTATTTCACCTATTTTTCTCCTAAAAAATTTGACCAACTATGACTGTAGATATTGGGATTTGTCCGGGATAACATTATTCTTTCTTGAACCCAATTTCTAGTGATGTGATATAGTGTTGAGGAACCTCGGAAAATTGCAGATAAAAAATAGGTGAAATAGTAAAGAAAACGATGGGAAATTGTTCTTTCATACTCTTATTCATGTTGTCATAGGTAACACAATTTGAATATTAACTAACAAACAAAATAATTGATGCTTTTAACTGAAGAAACTTTGACAAATTGCAAGGAATATTATAATTAATTATTGTATATAGAATCATGCTTCATGTACAGGATGTAAGTTCACAGAACCCCACCGATAACTTACACGTGGGAGGTGGGTAATTTTTCTTACTTTTTTATTGAGGTGGGATCGCACCTCATGTGAGGGGGTGTGACGGTTCTGCCTTTGTACATTTGACTTAATTCTTGTATATATTACAATTTACTCTTTTGATTGACGGAATTTTGCACTTTAAACATTTCACCTACCAATTGAAAGTTTGGTCAATTGGTTCTCGTGAACGAGATCAGAATTATTATTAAATATAAAAATAAGTTCAAACTTGAGAGTAGGTATTATGAGCTTTTGATGTGGGTAAATCTTTTTTTGCCAATTTTATGAAATTTATATTTATAAAAAACAAAAGTTCATTTGGCGGTGGTGGTGGTGAATGTGCTGATTGAGAATTGAGAGGGTGCAAAGTGAGGCAATGTTAAAATATTAAGGAGTATAATGTAAATAAAGAAATGTGGTGACGCGTATCCCAGTACGACACGTTTTTACACGACGCCGTCACTCGATCCACATCGGGCTTCTCGTTTTCCTCTGTAAAGGTCGGTGGTCAGATCAGGACCTACATGAAATGACTGTATTACCCTTATACAATTTCTATATTTATATACTTAATTTATTTGCTCATTATAGCATTTATGTTTCTAACGATTTTTTTCACGTCATTTTTATCCTCAAATTTTTTATTAGCTAACACATTTTGAATTTGATAATAGTTTATATCCAAAGGTCTGTTGAAATGACGTAAAACAACTTATTGCTTCATCATATTTTTTAAAAATAAATTAATTAAAATTGCGAAAATAATATTTTTCCCCCATTTCAAAACATAAATACAAAATATTTTGATATAAATCATCGTCGAGAATGAGACTTATTAATTAATGAAATGTTGGAAATAAGAATTCGACGGAAGAAAAGTTAAGAAAATAATTGTTACAATGCGCAAAGATTGTGGAGTTTAACTGTAATTAAAATGTGGTGTATCAAATAAAAATTGTGGTGTGAATATAACCACCCTAAAATAATTTACAACATATGTATAATACTTTAATAATTATCCTCTAATTATTTATCCAAATGTCAAGATTTGTTGTAATTTCTGGAAAGATGACTGCGATTAACAGAAATAAACAAAAATATAAAGACAAAAAAATTGAAACTATTAAAAAGAAAATTATTATTTACAAACATTTAATGGTGTAGAGGCAAATAAAAGTGCAAAAATGATAAAATTATAAATTAAATGGAAAAATATAATAAAACTCTTTTCACTAAAAACCCATAAAAAACGTGGAAAGCAAGAATTGGAGAAAAGAGGATGATGCATTATAATTTGATGTTTCATATTTTCTCATGATAAACACTTATACAACCTTTTAGAAAGGCACATATTTGTCACGACTGTCGATCTTCTCATGATGATCTACTTTCTTCTCATCCGTGACCAATGCTCAATAAACATTGACCTATATGTGACATGTGAACTATCACCACGGTCGGCACCATCAACAGATATCAACACAACATTTGATATGCACTCTTCGAACATGTTACCACCACGAGCATCACCACAAACCACCTCAAAAATCATCACAAAAATGTCTTATAAACCACTACAGAACCACCTAAAAAACCACAACAAAACCGCCGCAGAACCACCACAAAAATTATTAAAAATACAACATAAAATATTGCAAACCACTACAAAAATGATCAAAAACACTCCACACAAACTATCGTAAACCAGCACAAAATCGCTATTGCGGCGATCTGAGCCCTAATCGAAAATTGGGAAAGTGAGATATTAGAAATTGGTTTCTGCTTTTCGCTTTCAGAGAGAGTAGAAGAGAAATGTAACAACATGACCTTGCACCGGAGTCGTTATCATATCGTACGTATTGTCCACTTTGGGAGAGCCTAGGCCCATCTTATCTCTCACGGATTTCTGACGCGTCTCCTAAAATTCAAACACAATTGGTACCAGGATTCAACTTAAGTCTCTCACATGATGGAAGTCTTGGGTTCGAATCTTGGGGGACGCGTTAAAAATCCGTGAGGAGCAATATGGGTCTAAGTTCTCCCAAAGTGGTCAGTACGTACGATATGATAATGGCTGGGCGCAAGGTCGGGTCGTTATAATTGTCCAATTGGTATCATGATTCAACTTAAATCTCCCATATGATGGAGATCTTCAATTCGAATCTTGGGGGACGCGTTAGAAATCTGTGAGGGGTAAAATGGGCTTAAACTCTCCCAAAGCGGATAGTACGTACGATATGATAATGGCTCCGGCGCAAGATCGGGTCATTACAAGAAATGGTGAAAGAGAGAGAGAGTGTAGAGCCGAATTGGTAGAGAGAGAAATTAAAGAGATTAATAGAGAGAAGAGAGAGAGGGGATATGTTAGAAAGAGAAATTAAATTGAGATTAAATCTGGCTTTGAATGGATTAGAGGATGGTGTGTAATTTAATTTATAATATATTATTATTATTATTAAAATATAGAATTACCATATGATTTTTGAATAAACAAACCTTCAACTTGTTTTTTGAATTGTTATATTTAAAAAATTGTACCCATGTAATTTCCACATTTTGGAACTTCGAACTTTTACTTGATCATTAATCTGGGCCTACAACTTCTCTCACTGGTACTATCAAGAACCAAAAACTAGAGTTCGGAAAAAAAACCACAACAAAACCGCCGCAAAACCACCACAAAAATTATAAAAAATACAACATAAAATATTGCAAACCACTACAAAAATGATCAAAAACACTCCACACAAACAATCGTAAACCAGCACAAAATCGCTATTGCGGCGATCTGAGCCCTAATCGAAAATTGGGAAAGTGAGATATTAGAAATTGGTTTCTGCTTTTCGCTTTCGAAGAGAGTAGAAGAGAAATGTAACAACATGACCTTGCACCAGAGTCGTTATCATATCGTACGTATTGTCCACTTTAGGAGAGCTTAGACCCATCTTACCTCTCACGGATTTCTGACGCGTCCCCTAAAATTCAAACACAATTGGTACAAGGATTCAATTTAAGTCTCTCACATGATGGGAGTCTTGGGTTCGAATCTTGGGGGACGCGTTAAAAATTCATGAGGGGTAATATGGATCTAAGTTCTCCCAAAGTGGACAGTACGTACGATATGATAATGGCTGGGCGCAAGGTCGGGTCGTTATAATTGTCCAAGTGGTATCAGGATTCAACTTAAGTTTTCCATATGATGGAGGTCTTCAATTCGAATCTTGGGGGACGCGTTAGAAATCTGTGAGGGGTAAAATGAGCTTAAACTCTCCCAAAACGGACAGTACGTACGATATGATAATGGCTCCGGCGCAAGATCAGGTCATTACAAGAAATGGTGAAAGAGAGTGCGTAGAGCCGAATTGGTAGAGAGAGAAATTAAAGAGATTAATAGAGAGAAGAGAGAGAGGTGATATGTTAGAAAGAGAAATTAAATTGAGATTAAATCTGGCTTTGAATGGATTAGAGGATGGTGTGTAATTTAATTTATAATATATTATTATTATTAAAATATAGAATTACCATCTGATTTTTGAATAAACAAACCTTCAACTTGTTTTTTGAATTGTTATATTTAAAAAATTGTGCCCATGTAATTTCCACATTTTGGAACTTCGAACTTTTACTTGATCATTAATCTGGGCCTACAACTTCTCTCACTGGTACTATCAAGAACCAAAAACTAGAGTTCGGATCGATTCTATATGATCAATGTTCTAAATTTCAGTCCATATATGCAAGGTTTAAAAGCCCACAAAATTTTTAATAGGAAAAATCACAGGAAACCCAACTTTTTAAGATTCATATTAAAAAATCAGGTGGAAAGTTTAATCTTTCAAAAATCAAATGTTTTAATTAATATATTATTAAATTCAATTAATTTAGAAATCACCCGCACCCACCTCATTTCCCCCCGAACACGTTCTCTCTCTAAACCAAACCCTAAAATCCCAAATCAACCATCACAAACCCTACCTCCCTCCACCCACCTCATTTCCCCCAAACTCATTCTCTCTACCTCTGCTCTCTCTATCACTGCTCTCATCTCCATTCTCTCTCAGCACTGTCTCCTAAACCGAAACCACGGCCGCCGCCTCACCGCTGCAGCTATCCTCTCTCTCGTCGCCGTCACAACGATTGAAGCGACGATTGAAATAGTATATCTACAGCGACGACATCTGAAGCGACGCCTTCGTTGAAGAACCCCAAGGTCCACCTCTGTTTTACGGTATTCTCTCTCTTTCT